GTCAATTTTTTTACGTTTTGTGGTTGCTTGTATTTTTGGCATCCTAAGAAATCACAACCGAATCCACTATCATGTACCATGTACCCTGTGTTTTCTCCTAATAGTTTCATAATTTCAGGGTTTACACTTAGGTCTTTAATCAAACATGAGTTAAGTTTTGTATATAGTATGATATAGGAGTACAGGTTCATTATTTTGCTTGGAGAAATCAAGTTTCCTAGCACAGTATGTTAAAGAGGATGTCCTTTCCCAGTGAATGGTCTTGGCACCCTTGTCAATATAATCATTGGTCCTTATGTGCTTAGGTTTATTTCTGGGCTTTCTGTTCCATTGGTCTATAATGTCTTTTATGAAGGTATTACATTGTTGTTTTTGTTTTTTTGTTTTTTTGTTTTTTTTACAAATAGTTTATTGTCAAATTAGTTTCCACATAACACTCAGGGTATCACATTGTTTTGATCACTGTAGCTTTGTAGTAAGTTTTGAAATCATAAAATGAGACCTCCAACTTTGTTATTCATTTCAGGATTATTTGACTATTTGTGATCCTTTGAGATTCCATATGAATATGAGGATGGATCTGTTTCTATAAAAAAAACACAGTTGGGGGGCACCTGGGTGGTTCAGTCAGTTTAGTGTTCAACTTTAGCTCAGGTCATGATCTCAGGGTTTGCGGGTTTGAGCCCCATGTCGGACTATGTGCTGACAGCTCAGAGCCTGGAGCTTGCTTCGGATTCTGTGTCTCCCTCTCTCTCTGCCCCTCCACTGCTCCCACTCCATCTCTGTTTTTTCTCAAAAATGAATAAATGTTGAAAAAATTTTTAAAAAGAAGGAAAAAAACCACTGTTGGGATTTTGATAGAGACTACATTGAATCTATAAATGTCTTTTGGGTAGTATTGGCACCATAACAATATTAGGTCTTTACAATCCACAAACACAGAATATCTGTCCATTTATTTGGATTTAAATACTTGTGTTTTTTAAGTTTTCAGTGTAAAACTCTTTCATCTCCTTGGTTATGTTTATTCCCAAGTATTTTATTCTTTTGATGGCTATTTCTTTATAGGAATGTTGTTAGTATTTAAAATATAACTGATTTTTGTGTATAGATTCTATAACTTGCAGCTTTACCAAATGAATTTATTCTTAGTTTTCTTATAGAATCTTTAGAGTTTTCTACATACATGTGTTATCTGTGAACAGAAATAATGTTTCTTCTTTTTTATTTGGATGCCTTTTAATTATTTTTCCCCCCTGGCTGCTCTGACCAAGATTTCCAGGACTATGTTGGATAAATTGGCAAAAGCAGGTATCCTTGTCTTGTTCTTGATATAGAGGAAAAGCTTCTGGTCTTTTACCACTGAGTATATTAGATGTGGGCTTTTCATGTGTGGCTTTTATTATGTTGAAGCAGGATCATTGTTTCTTTTTTGTTTAATGTTTTTATCATGAAATTGTGTTTAATCTTCTCAAATCCATTTTTTATTTACATCATTCAAGAGGATTGTGTGTTTCTTTTGTGGTGGTAATATGGAGTGTTACATTGATTTTCATTATGTTGAACCATCCTTGCTTCCATGAATATATCCCACTTGGTCATTCTCTATAATCCTTTTCATGTACTATGGAATTGTTTGCTATTATTTTGTTAAGGATTTTCACATCAGTATTTGTGAGAGATATTGGTCAGTAGGTTTTTTAATTTTTATTTCTGTCCGGCTTTGGTATTAGGTTGATGCTGGCTTCATAGAATGAGTTTGGAAGTGTTTTGTTCTCTTCAGTTTGGGTAAAGAATTTGAGGATGGTTCGTGTTCATTTTTCTTTAAGTATTTGGTAGAATTCACCAGTGAAGCCATCTAGTTCAGGAATTTCCTTGTTAAAGGTTTTTAGAATACTCCTTCAATTTCCTAACTAGTTACAGATTTATTTGGATTACGTGAACTGATTTCCTATTTTTTCATCATTCAATTTTAGTAGATTGGGAATGTTTAGGAATTTATTTCATCTAGGTTGTCCAATTTATTGGAGTACCATTGTTCATAGTATTCTCTTTTATATTTCTGGGGTATCAGTTGTAATGTTACTCTTCCATTAATTTAAAATCTTTAAAAAGTAAATAAATAAAAAATAAAATCTTCCAAAATGGGGGCGCCTGGGTGGCTTAGTCACTTAAGCATCTTTGCCCAGGTTATGATCTCATGGTTCTTGAGTTTGAGCCCCATGTTGGGCTCTGTGCTGACAGCTCAGAGCCTAGAGCTTGCTTTGGATTCGGTCTCCTTTTCACTCTGCCCCTTCCCGACTTGCAGTCTGTCTGTCTGTCTCATGAACATTAAAAAAAATTAAAAGTAAAACCTACCAAAATGACTTTATTTCTGTAAAATCAGTTGTAATATCCCCTTTTTCATTTTTTTATTTTTTTGAGAGTGAGCAAGCATGGGTCAGGGAGGGGCAGAGGCAGAGCAAGAGAGAGAATTTTAAGTCTTCATGCCCAATGTAGAGCCTGATATGGGACATGATCTTGCAAGCATGACATCATGACCTGAGCCAAAATCAATAGTCAGACACCTAATAGTCTGAGCCACCTAGGCACCCACCCCCCTTTCATTTGAGGTTAGTTGAGTCATCTTTTTTTCTTAATCTAGGTAAAGGTTTATCAATTTTTTTGATCTTATCAAAGAACGAACTCTTGGTTTCATTGATTTTTCTGTTTTTTATTGTTTCATTTATCTCTGTTCTAATTTTTATTATTTCCTGTTTTCAACTAGCTTTGGGCTTAGTTCTCTAGTTGGGCTTAGTTCTCTAGTAAAGTTATAGTGAGATTGTTGATTTATCTTTTTCAGTGTAAGCATTTATAGCTATACATTTCATTTTCCCTTTAGCACTGCTTTCACTGCATCCTGTAACTTATGTTGGGTTTTCATCACCATTTATCTGAAGATGCTTTCTAATTTCTTTTGTGATTTCTTCTTTGACCCATTGGTTGTTTAAAAGTATGTTAATTCCCATGTATTTATGGATTTTCCAGTTTTCCTTCTGCTGTTGATTTCTAGTTTCATTTCACTGTGAACAGGAAAGATAATTTGGTTTCAGTCTTTTAAGATTTACTAAGACTTGGTGCCCTAAAATAGTTTATTTTGGAGAATGTTCCATATGCATGTAAGAAAAAGGTATATTCTGCTTTTCTTGGGTGGAATGTTCTAATATGTATTTTGGGACCAGTTCTGTAGGGTTGTTCAAGTACTGTTCTTCCTGCTCTTCTTTCTGGTTGTTCTTTTCATTATTGTAAGTGGGGTACTGAAGTCTGCTGTAACTATAGAGCTGTCTTTTTTTCCTCCCACCAATCCTGTATATGTGTTTGCTTCATATATTTAAGAACTAGAGTTTGATGCATATACAATTGTTACAGCTCCTTGGTAAATTGAGACTTTTATTATTATATAATGGCTTTTTTTTTTTTTTTTTTTGGTCTCTTGTACCTATTTTAAAGTCTATTTTGTCTGATACTATAGCTGCCTCCATCCACTTTTGGTTACCATTTGCATGGAATCTTTTTTTCCATCCTTTCATTTTCAATCTGTGTATGTCCTTAGATCTAAAGTGAGTCTCTTGTAGACAAATGGATCTTGTTATTTAAACCCAATCTATTGGGACTTTAATTCATTTACATTTCAAGTTATTGCTGATGGGGAAGAAATTCCTATTACCATTTTGTATTATTTTTTACATGTCTTCAAGCTCTTTTGTTTGTCATTTAAATGTCTTAATTTCCTAGGAGTCTCAGCCCTGCTGCTTCTCAGGACCTTAGATGTTCTATTTTATTCCTCTGTCCATAATCTCTTGCCCTTACGCATTCATGGTTCTGCAGACCCCCTGAAGCCCTCAGGTGCAGCAGTTCCCATCAGTGCTCTGAGTCAGGCAAGGCACTCCCTCAGGCAATCCCCAGACGAGTCAGAACATCAGAAGCAAGTTTTCCACTCCTCTTTCTATGAACTGAGAGGTTTCTTCCTTCCACTAGGCCGGGAGAGTAAAGGGAAAGGTGGGCATAAATGCCATAAAATTTCTGATCATTTTGAATGTGGCTTTTTCTTGGTTAGGTGTGTGGTTGTTTCTGCTGCTTAACTGGCTTCTAGAGTTCTCACATTACATTGGTGTGTATATTGTATCTTCAGTGTTTCCCTGTGTATTTGTTGCTGGATAAGGGTCTGGAGCTTCCTAATCTTGGTGACATCACTGTCAATTCTTTTAAAGAGATTTATTTTGAAAAGAAAAAGTCTAATATTTATGTTATTATTTCTGGTACTTTTTTTATGTGCATGTAGATTCAGATTTCCTTTTGCATGAAAGACTTCCTTTAAAACTTTAAGATCTTCCTGTACTTAAATAAATTCTGACCCATCTTAAAGCTCACAGATAGTTTTTCTGCACTATCCAAATTGCTGCAGAGCTCACTGTTAATATTTGCCAGGATTATAAACTCTCTCTCTCTTGTGAGGTCACTGGCTGGATTCTCTGCCGAGCTCTTTAGACCACAGCTCTTTGAATGTTGCCTTTTCTAGGGGTCTCACCCTGCACGTGGGCTATGTAGGTGTCTGCCAAGGATTTGAGGGTATTTTGAGGGTTCTATTCATTCCAGGGTTTGCCACCTGGAAATTTCTATCACCCTGGCAGCCCTTCTCTTTGATTCCTTAGCCCAGTAAGATTGAGGTTTTCCTTGAGATCTGTCTCCTATGAACCCATTAAGTGGAAAGTGCTCTCAGAAGCCAGTTGAATGTGGACCTCAGTCAGTTTATTTCCCTTTCTACAAGAATCCTATCACCTCCACATTCTGCTTACTATCAATTACACATCTGTGTCTTCAAATATGTTTTTGTTACCCTCAGAAGAGTTGGGTCCACTACAAGCTACTCTGCCACTATTGGAATTAGAAATGAATTATTTTTAAAATGTTTAAAACATGTGAGTTACCAAAGTTACAGTCATTCAGTAATGCAAAGAAGATTTACAAAAATTCTATATTTCAGTTAAAGACAGTTATTACTAATGTGGCTATAATTTTACTGAAGACTATATGGGATTTGTTTTTCCTTGTGCAGGATATCACCAATGAAGAACACACGAAAATTGAAGCATTAAAATCTGAGAACAAGAAGCTAGAAAAACAAAAAGGAGAATTAATGAAAGGGTTCAAGAAACAGTTAAAATTAATTGATGTTTTAAAAAGGCAGAAGGTGAGTCTATCCTAAAAAAACACAGTTAAATTATAGATCTTATTTGGACCTCTATACTAAAATAGTTATTTCTACTTTAGATATGTTTTTTGATATGCTTAGGTACAAAATTTTATCTATGTAACATGTCATCCAAGCAAATGGTTATTTTCACGCAGGTAAATTAGATGTGGAAAATGGGACTGGTAAATACACTATAGTTACTCCCTAATTAAAGAAAGTATGTACAAAAATAACTTATCTTAGGGGATTGGTTTGCCTCTTTAAACACTGAAGAGTGAAAAATGATTCTGAATCACTCTTCCCTTCTCTATACATGAATTAGCTGGTAGTGAGAAGATTCAAAGTCATGGTTCTGCTATTTTCCCTTTTTGCAAAGGTTACATATTAAAATATTACTGAAACAGGTTCATTCAGTAACCACCATGAACAAATAGGCTTCTACAGGCTGGCCCTTGAAAGTAATTATTTCAAATGTTTATTGGAATTAGAATACACATTCCAACAGAGCCTATAATTTGATAGCATATTTATATACACAGTTTTATCAATTGCCTGTTGTTCAGTGGTATACTCTTAATACTAAAACAGTATTGATTTCTTACAAACACAGATGCATATTGAAGCTGCCAAGATGCTGTCTTTCACCGAAGAGGAGTTTATGAAGGCACTTGAATGGGGAAATTCATAAGTGATCTACTTTAATTAGTCTGTGTAACTGATTGTGTGCCCATATACATTTTATGTAAAGTTTTAATGATTTATTTTTACTCTTTATAACTAATGAAGATATTTGATACTGAAATCAAAGCAGTTGCAACAAATTCCCTGTTTAGATTTGGGGGGTACAGAATCGGTATGTGATTAATAGAAAACTGTGACCCACTTGCCCTTTAATATAAAGTATTTTAATGCTCTGGAGATTTAGCTCTAGTTCATAAATGACAGTTTATGTGAGAGAAATTCTCTTTTTAAGTTCTTATTGACGATAAAGCACTTTGAAAGTCCTCACTCTTCACTATTCTTTTCCCTCATACTAGAAAGAAAGATACTTTCCGTAAACACAAATACCAACAGAACTGTAGTCTGAATGGAGATGCAGCAGGAGTAGTATGGAGAAGTTAGTCTCCTGGGTTTGGCCTCTACTGTATTTATACAGAGAGAATGTTGTAATGTGGTGTATAACTCAGATGTTCAAATGATCAGTACAAGAACAAGAATTTGACTAATGGCAATTTTATCAGAAAACAATTTCTTGTAGATAATTGTTTACAAATAATGATATACAGAGATGCTTTAGAAAATCCAAATAGATTATGGATTCTATCACTGACCTGTGAAACAAAGTCACACTGACACCTAGTGGTGAAAACAAAACAATCCAGGTTTTACCAAATCTTGATGGTATCACTTCTCTTCACAAATTTCACTTCTTTTCTGATAGACTTTTCTAAACTCTTCACCAAGCATATCGATATCATCCTCCTTTTTAAATACTCCCTACAAAGAAAAATATTTTGTGGGTTACTTCAAATGCCAGAATATTTAACTAAATGTTATAAGACTATCACATACAGAGTGTAAAAATTTGTAAAGTTATCTCCAAGATAAATCTATTTCTTAGGCTTAGGAATCATACCACTATTCTCTGAAACTTATGACTCCATGTATAATGAAATCTTTGACCTCATTTCCTGATTTCTTTATTTATCAGCTCAAGTATAGGAATTTGTAAAAGGAATCTGGGCTCTTTTATTTAACTACAGCACGTACCACTGCTTGGATTGGCTGAATGAGAATTTCATAAGTTATGTGAGAGGTCAGGGTTAAGAGACTGAGCTTTGCCAGACTGATGCATGGGACTGGCTCTCACCTCAATTCTATGGCTGATCAGCAAACATTCAGTCTTGCAGGAAAGACTCCAGGTTTGGAGTTATATGCCTTTTAAGCAAGCCCTTTGAAATTCTCCATGCTTTTATTTACTTGTCGTTTCCCTGACAGTATACAGTAAAAGTCTCTTAAATATTTACTTATATAATTTAAAGGAGGTAAAGAATCATTTAGGTCATTCGGAGCCATTAGGACTTAAAAGATTAAAATCATTTTGGGATAACAGGTTTATTAGACTCTCCCTATCTCCACATTTATTTCCTTTTAAACATTTCTAAACTCAGACTCTCCTGAATTTATAGTCTATCATTTCATATTCATTAATCAAATCAGCCAATTGGACTATGAGGTCCTGTGGACAAGCAATAATTACTCATATGCTTCCCTCTCTCTTTGCTTAGCACTGGACTGAACACAAAATAAGCACTTGATTCTTCCAATTGAATAAAATATCAAATGACATTTCAATATTTGAAGGTTGCAAATTTTATTTACATGCGTCCAGATGTTTATGGGGCTTAGGAAACTCCACTGTCACTTCATTTATAGTCAGAATGTATCCCACTTATACATGAAAATCTGTTATCTTCTGGAAATACTTTTAAAAACAGGTTACCTTGTACCTACTTATAACCTGTCATTATAGAGCAGCTCTGTCCTGGACTCGGTTCAAGCATGTGTCTGTTATCAGTGTTACCAATTATAAGAGTTTCCTATACAAAAAGTATCACAGTTGCTTTAGGGTGGTTTAGTTTTAGACTTCCTACACCAAATAGGGAGGAAAAGAACTTCTAAAATTTAAATTCAGTAATCTAGCTCTGACTTTAAGAATGTACCAAGATTTAGGGCACCTGGGTGACTCAGCTAAGCTTCTGACTTCAGGTCATGATCTCATGGTCCATGAGTTCAAGCCCCGTGTGGGCTATGTGCTGAGACCTTGGAGCCAGCTTTGGATTCTCTGTCTCCCTCACTCTCTCTGCCTCTTTGCTGCTTGCACTCTGTCTCTCAAAAAAAAACACCAAAAAACAAAAAAGAATGTGCCAAGACCAACTGTCTCATTTTGAGACAGATGTTCAGTGACTGCCTCCAATCCCACTGCTTTGTAACATTCAGAAGTAAGTGAAACCCAGGCCCTCTGAAATCTCAACTATCACGTTTTTTCTCCACTATTAGAGGTTAGGAAGATTATACCTTGAATAAAATCTCACTTACCTTAGGGAGATATCCTAGTAATTATGTAGCATGTTCTTTGAGAAGATTTAGTCTTTCTTCTTCAATAATTGCATTAATACACCCTTGTTGTCTTTGCTGCAACTGCCATTCTTCCAGTTCACGTTGCTGGAAATGTAAATGAAATTTTATTGTCACAGAATACGTTAATCTTTTAAGAAGTCATCAAATGAAACTATCTTGCAGTTGATTAGATAAAATTGACTATTTTTGACACTACAGAAAATATGTAGTATATATATCTTTTATGTTGTATATATATATAATAATCTCTATCTTTTACAATCACTATTCCCTTAAAGTTACAAAAAACAATAGTCATGACTGGAATTCTAGGGAGGCAAGTATATATCTTCAGGACAATATCTTCATTACCAATGAAAAAATGTACAAAGAAGGGATTTTCTGGTTAATTCAAATATTTATGTAATGTTTACCATAAGCCAAGTGCTGAAGGCAGCCTACAGTGTAAAACGAAACCAAAAAAATCTGGACAAAACAGAATAGGGTATCTAAAGGATAAATATTTCCATGTCTGTAAAAAATGTTTAAGAGCCTATATGAAGCCCAGTAGTAGTAGCAGAAGTTCTAACAGAAGAACCAGTGTTTCTCAGGAGACCATTCTGAATGTTCTTATAGAACCACACCAAAATTCTGTGCCATATACTATGGAAGAGATGACCAGCTTTCAATGTTTTAGAGCTTAAAAAAACTCTTAGGGAGTTGTATCCAAATAATCTATTGGAAAGGGAAGGGTGCTAAAGGCAGACCACTGAAATAGTGATGAATTCCTACATAGAATTAAAGTAGTATTAATGTTAAGTTTGTGCAATAACTAGTTTCCTAGGGTCACAATTTCTTCATAACCCTTCATAGTTACTAAACAAACATAAAGAAGGATGCTAGGACACAGCCATATCCAATGCCACTCAAACCTTTAGCAGTTTCTAATGAGACTATATTGTCTACAATGATATTACATTATTTGCATTACAGAATCAGAAGCAGCATTGGTAGCTAACTGAGAAAAGACTTATACTCTCACCCATCTTGTTATTGAATGAAAGAGTTGGGTGGCTCTTATTTATATCTAAGATGATATAAGATAATAGAATCTGCCATGGAATCTTTATACCTGAATTTGATTTGAGACTACATTTCTAAGGCTCCCTTACAGTCAGGTGTGGTCACAACAGGACTTGGTTTCTGCCAATGGAATATAAGCCAAAGTGTCATATGATAGATTCCAGGAAAAAAATCGTATACGCCCGCTTTGTCTTTCTTCACCTCTTCCATCTGCTACTTGAAACATGAAAGGTGAAGATCCAATTTAGACCATGAAGATAATGGCTATGTGCTACAGAAGCCACAGTGAAATGCTAGGATGACCCTGGTTCCTGAAGGCTGAATAAAACCTCCATTCCAGCCCAGAATTCCCTATCTTTAGACTTTTATAGGAGAATAGTAAACTATATACTAAACCACTATTTATGTGATACTCTGTACCTGCACCCAAACCTAATCCTAACTGATCTCCGTTCATTATAAAAAGGAAACGCAAAACAATTCTAAAATGTTGTGAGGAAAGCTCATTTGTTAGATTTTGTCCAATGATGTACAGTCTCTAATTTGGGTAGAATATAGGATTTGTCTTCTTAGGAGGTGGTAAACACATTAAATATTCTAATAAACACTTTCATAGTAAATTAGGGTAAATAGTTTAGAAAGTATGCAACCAGTTTGTCCTTTCAGACAAACTGAATAGAGCTGGTAGTAGGAAACACTTTCCTGGGGAGTTTTAGACTTTGTCTGACTAAGCATACAATTTTTTTAGAGGTAGACAGAATTGTAGTTACCTATTTAGGAATATCTCTGAAATCTAAAAAAAAAAACAAAGTTAGACCTTATAGGATTATGTAATGGAATGGATTAATGTGTTGCATGATCAAGAAAATCCTGGGGCGCCTGGGTGGCTTAGTCGGTTAAGCGTCCGACTTTCGCTTGGGTCATGATCTCGCGCTTCGTGGGTTCGAGCCCCGCGTCAGGCTCTGTGCTGACTGCCAGCTCAGAGCCTGGAGCCTGTTTCAGTCTGTGACTCCCTCTCTCTCTGACCCTCCCCTGCTCACGCTGTCTCTCTCTCTCTCTCTCTCTCCTAGAAATAAATAAAACATTAAAACAAAAAAAAAAAAAAAAAGAAAATCCACTCTTGCCCCAGGCCAGAAGAAAAGTGTGACCCAATCTCACAGACACTTTAAGTATACAGCTTCACATTAGGAATATTTACATTAGAAAAAAATTAAGAAAATTAAGACAAATTGTAGACGTATCTATGCTTTAGGTGGTTTTACGTGATTTTCATTCACAGTTCCTTGCTAACTTTTCTAGGAGCTTTCTAATTAGCTCTGTAAGCCATGTGATGGGATGGTCTATCACTGTTTCTATCTCTTTCTAGGCAAGGAGTAGTCAAAGCCTTCTGAATGATTGCAAAAGTCTTCCAATTTTCATCTTCCTTGATTGCTCTGCTTGTCTGACACTGCTGGTCACCCTCCTTGATTCAACAAACCATTTATTATTTACCACTTGCCAAGCAAAATGCTGGGTGCTTAAAGGTTAACCTTAAAGGTTAGAGTAGATCATGACTGGTTTATATCAAAGCTAAGGAACTGGGATTTTATGCTGTAGGAATCCACTTAGGTTTAAGTACGAGGAGGACATAATTTTTTAAACCCATAGTTACTCGTGGCAGATGGACTAGTCAATAGGGAGACCAGTAGATGACACTTTCAGTAGTCCACAGGAATGGTATTAAATGTCTGAACTAAGTTATGAAGAAAAGAAACTGGATTTAAGACTTACTACTGAAGTGAAGTCAATGGAATTTGGTGGCTGGCTAAAAATTATTAGATAGGAATGGGGAAAAGTCCAGGAATGATTTCAAAGTCATAGACTTGGGTGACTGAATATGCTGTCTTTAACCAAGATTCAGGCTACAGAAATTGGAAAAAGGTTTTCTGGAATGTTCACTTTTGGAAAGCTAATTTCTAAAGCACCTACAAGATTTCTAACTATAGCATTCAGACATCTGGAAATATGGCAACTACAGTGTGAAATGAGTAACAATAGAAGAGCTAAAACTTGAACTCCCAAGTATCCTCCTCCACCCCCCACCTGATGGAGCAGGCAAAAAACAGCCTCTCTGGGTTTTCTGTAACTACCACTATCCAGATTCTCTTGCCTTTCTGACCATTTCTTGGTCTTGTCATTGTTTTTTTCCTCCTCTTTCTACTCCTAAATAAGAATGTTCGCCAAGACTCCATCATTGGTCCTCTGATTGTTTCTCATTACAGTATATTCTTGGAACATCTCTGTGCGAATTAATGCCAGGTATGTATTTCTAGGAAAACTGACCTAAGCTTTGGTCCTCTGGGTCAAATGCCTTCAAGATATTTTCAATTTGTATTTCTATTTCAAGCCCAACACGATATAAACTGAAGTAATTATTTTTTGCTCTGACTCAAAACATATTCTTTGAGTTTCTCTTGTTTGAAACCTTGGAGTTATTTGACTCTTTCCTCCACTCTACCCTATATGATCTAAAAAAAAAAAAAAATACCAGTCTTATCTTCCTTTAAAAGTATTTAAACTCTTTCTTGCTTCTTCCATGCTCTGCTAACCTATTCTAAGTCCTCATCACCTCACTCTTAAGTCACTACATTTTCTCCTTGCTAAAAACCATGTTATGATCACCAATTTCCTATTGTATCATGTCTAAACTCCTCTGCCTATCATTCAAGTTTCTCTTTGTGGGTAATTTCATATGCTGCCAACGTAGAATAGCCTTCTTCTGCTTTTATTCATTTTTTATGTATTTCCAGGTAAACCCATATAGTTCGGCCATAAATGTACAGTTGAACCATGAACAGTACAGCTCTGAACTGCATGGGTCCACTTACCTGCAGATTTTTTTCAGTAATACAATATGGTACCATAAAGGTATTTTCTCTTATGATTTTCTTAATAAGATTGTTTTTTCTGGCTTACTTGAAGAATATAGTGTATAATATGTATATAAAATGTGTGCTAATTGACTTTTTGAAAATAAGATAACCAATCTTTTTTTATTATTATTTTAGAGAGAGAGAACACAAGTGGGGGAGGGGGCAGAGGGAGAGAGAGAGAGAGTGAATCTTAAGCAGGGCTTCAGGCACAGCACAGAGCCCGATGTGGGGCTCAATCCCACAACCCTGGGATCATGACCTGAGCTGAAATTAAGAGTCAGGTGCTCAACTGAATGAGCCACTCAGGCACCCCATGTGCCACTTGACTCTTAATGTTATCAGTAAGGCTTCTGGTCATCAGGAGGCTTTTAGTTAAGTTTTGGAGGAGTCAAAATTTTATGTGGATTTTTGACTGGGGTGGGGATGGGGGTAGGTGTCAGCACCCCTAACCAGTGTTGTTCATGGGTTAACTGCATTGTCCAATTGGTAAATTACAACTACCAAATTCTATAAATGTACCTTGTACATGTAAGAAATGTATTCTCAGTATGATTTTATATATAATTGAGTTTTTTGGACTCTATACCCTATTTTCTGCACTACACTAGAAAGTACCAGAATTAACTTGTATTTATTTTGGTTCCCTCACCAACACTCAGCAGAACTCCTAGCAGATCAGTATCTATTGATTACAAGAATATCCTGAGATTTCTTTCTCTCTACCCATACAAGAAAAGATTAACTTAATTCCAGCTCTGCCACTTCTTTGCTATAAAACCTTGAGCCACATACATATAATCTCTCTCTCTCCCCTCTCTCTCTATATAGATGATAGATAGATAGATAGATAGATGGATGGATTTTATACATATATATGTATATATGCATTATATATACATATGTATTATATATATATACATATATGTATATAATCTGTGCCTCAGTTTCCACATCTTCAAAATGGGGGTAGTAAAAGTACTTAACTCACAGAGTTGAAAGTTTAAACTTATTTGCTTGGAATGAGCTTAGAATAGTTGAATGACATATGTAAAAGCTCAATAAAGGTTAGTTGTTATCACTACCACTTACATTATTTTAAAATACTTACCATATGCCTAATCTATACTCTTCGTATTGGAGTGTTTATCTTTACAAAGCACAATTATACCTTATCTTATTTGGTTCTTAAAGCACAACAGTCTAGCGTGGCAGATTAAGTATTATTTCAGTTTTATAAATGAAACATAAAATAGACAAACCAATGTATCCAAAGGCACAAACCTAGTTCCCTCTCCAACTCTTAAATCCGTATTTCTAACTAAGAAATCAACTGCTGGGGCCTCAAAATCAATGTGGACAAAATGGGATTATATCCCCCCCTTGAAATCTATTTTTCTTTGTTTTCTTTGGGACATCACCCACTCACTGAATACGGAAGCAATAGTAGTATTTAGTGGTAGTAGCAGGTGCAATCCTGCTCTCGCCTCTCCAGACCCAACTAATTGGTCAGCAAGCCCCATCGAGTCTGTCTCCCTAACATCTCTCAGACCGCCACCTTCTCCACTTGCACAGGCTTTCCCCACCTATCATGGACTGAAGGTAGTAATGTCCTAACTGATCTCCTTGTCTCCCTTCTCCCCGCATACCTACTCCCAGTCCGACTACTCAAGTCAACTTTCCAAGTGCAGATCTCATCATATAGCTTTCTTAATTCTTCAGTGGGTGTCCCTGGATAAAGACACTTTCCTTAAAATAGCATCCAGGGCATTCATGATCTGTGCCCTGCCTACCATACCAAGATGCCCATACCAGTATAATTATTATCACGTGTACCTGACATATCTCTATAATGATTGTTTTTATACATTTTCTTTAACCAAGACCATAAACTGATAGATGTCATGGACTTACCTGTACATGTTCTCAACACCAACCAGTGCCTAGCACACAAAAAGCATCAATGAATACATTCTAGATGCATGAATAAATGGTCAGAAAATGTCTATGCCATATGACTAGTAAGCAGATATCAAACATCATCTGGCACATAAAAGGGTCTCAGTTAAATGCTGAGTGGGTGAACAGATGAGCTGACTGCTGTTCAATGATAATTTAAAAAAATGAACACTTTTTCTTACTTTGTCTGCAAGGAACTGGTTGCGACGCTCTTCAATAAGTTTTTCCACAGCCCTCCTGTGTTCTAGCTGCTTCATTCTTTGTTTCTGAGCATTCATCAGTTCTATTCGATCATCCTCAGCAAGCTTAGCTAGCGTAGCTTTTCTAAAGGTCTCCTCTTCCTCTTTTGCAGCCTGGAGTACTAGTTCCTTCAGGGCCATTTGTTCTAGAAAATCTTGTTTCATCTCCTTTTGCTTTCTTAATTTCTCTTCTGCTTCCTCCTAAACAACAATCCGTATAAACATTAATTCAGTAACTGTTTCTTTACAAAAAATTTATAAAGAAAAGGTGGATAGAGTTTGGTTAAGTGCAGTGTTAACAATATGAAATAAAATGAAAAATTAAGCCTTTCAAGATAACTCTTTTCCCCATCCTTTTAACACTAGTTGGATAAAGGACATGTTATTTTGGACTACCTTCTTTTATTTTTAAATTTTAATTTGTATATATTTTGAAAGGAGTGGCTATAAAAACTTTTTTGCACACCTGAAGTCATTAAATCTGTGGTCTGTGAAATTTGTACCCACAAAGAATCATTCGAGAATCTTGCCTGAAATTGTGGTTCAAATGACTGGCAAATATTTTTCAGAATAATAAGCTACAAGTGACAATCACAAGTTTTTCAAGAAAATTCAAATATACTTGGAGCAGTTACAGTCTCTTCCTACAAGCTTTAATTTTCCTAACATTATGAAAAATCTCAAACATAATTGGAAAATAGAAGTTTACAGTGATCACTCATCTACCTAACACCTAGCTACTATCAATAACATTTTACTATTTTTGCTTTATCATCCATCCAATTAGGACTGATGTAAATTTTAATTCCTTCTCAACTGTAACCAGCCTTGCCTGATTCATACACAGTTTCCAGGAAGTAAGCCATATCCTCAGGGCAACCAAAATATTGCCTTAACAACGTTGTTTGATCACGGTTCTTACAGGTAACACAAACTATAAGGGATATACTACAGGCCAGCAGGCAATATTAGAGAACTTCCAAGATGTCCAGGAAACCAGCCACCATTACCATCTATCTTCGGTAGAGTTAATCAACATGACTCAAATTCCATGATGGTAACTCTACCAAACCTACTCCCAACGATCCAGTCTTCTACATGTGACTGTGACCTCACTTTGCCCACTTCTATCTTCACACCTTGAGGTGGAGAGTAACTTGGGAGATAACCTAGGTACTATGAAGAATCCTAGCTAAAAGAAGATAAATGTGGTTTTTACTTTATAATGAAGTAAGACAAAATGTATAGAAGTGAGTTTTAAGTGACCCAATCTGGAATATCAGCTATAGCAACTTTGTTCATTATCTTCAATGTTCCACTTCTTTTTCTTCACTTATCTCTATCTAATCTCCTATTCAAATCCTACCTCCTCCAGAAAGTCACTCTAATTCATACATCTCTCTTTTGGGCCTCTGATACCATTTAATTTTCCAATCATTAATTTTATTTCAGATACCCATGCCTTCTCTCCTCACTAAAAATAAATTCCTAGAGGGCATATATTTTATTATTTATCTTATATATTATTTTTCTTTGGGATGCTGGGCACAGTGTTTTTATGATATTATAGTTTATGTTCATCTCCATGTATTATATAGAAGTCAGAAGGCTCACTGAAGGCAGCTACTGTCTCAGCTTTGAATTCCTTCAGAGTTTATCATAAAACTTTGCACACAGAAAATACATATTGAACCAAATGAACTGTTGACATTTCCTGCATCCATCCCCCATACAAATTTTAGTTTAATCCAATCAGTGGTAAAGACATCTGGCTAAAAATCAGGGAAACATTAGCAAAATAAGACAAAACAACATTTCACTGCTTTTTTCAACTAGAAAAATGTCCCTATACTCTTTGATATGCCTGGATCAGGATTATATATTTATGTAATATGAACTGCATAATTTTACAACCTTTTCCACATTCTAAAATCCATAATGTGGTTTGAGAAGTTGCTATTCATTAAAGGTTTGAAATAATTTGCTGAAAAAACTGCTCTGAGCCTGCAAACTTTTAGAGGTACCTTGATCTGGGTTCTCCGGTGAAAGCAGAATCTTACACAAATATTTGTGTATACATATTTTATGAGAGAGGGAGATCTCAGGAAGCAGTAGTGAGGGACAAGCAGAAAGAAATAGGGAAGGGAGAAAAGCCAACACATGGGTGCATCACTGAACTGGTTACTACATGGGCAACTGTGGCTTAATCCTGCCAGAATCTTCTGAGGAATGCATGAAACACCTTTCAGGTCTGCCCTCAAAGTTGACAGGAAGAAGCATTTATCCCTTCATTTCTGTCTACTGTTGGCTGAGGGATGGCCCAGAGGGTATTCACTCTCTGCCTTCACCAACACCACCACATATTAGGATGCCGTCAGCACAGTCAGGGTAAACCCTCACAAGTGTTCTCCACAACTGTCACTGTAAGCAGAGGAGAGGCCAAGAGGGTATGAGGCAGGACACAACAAGCTTTTCACACAGGATATATCTTTAATGATCTTATTTTGGCTTTTCCCACATTTTTTGAAATCACTATATTTTTAATGCAGAAAATAGTGCCATGAAGATTTTCCTGTTTTATAAGTATACAATTGAATGACCATTCACTATTTTCTATTCTTTCTTCTTTATAGACCTTTTAGTCCTTCTAGTTTTGTATTTGCTTTCCTTTTTTACTATGTTTTTCCAGAGTAAAAGCTTTACCCCCCAATCCTAACTGGATTAATTCTTGCTAATGTGTTCTCCTGATTTTGCTAAATTTCCACTTGTATCTTTATGATTTCCTTCCATATTCTTGCCTCATACTGGAATTTGTATTGTTTTTCTAAGTTACTGAATTGGCTGCTGGATAATTTTTGCTAATATTTCTTGTTAAAAATTAACTGCCTCAGAGATCAGTTTTATAAATCTGAAAAGATTTTGATGTGTACTAATCTCATCCTCTAAATTACTCCAGATTTTCTCTTCAACCAATAATAATTGAAAAGAATATTTTTAGATTTTCAGACAGAAAATGAAAATACTTGTCATTAATTTCTAGTGATGTTAAATACCATTTCCCCTTGTATTATTCTGGTAAATTTTCTTTGGAGATTTAATACCTTTTAAAGTTATGTACTTCAATGCAATTTACGTAGAAGATTAAATGTTTATCCTGTATTACCCTCATTATCAATTATACCTTTCATCTGTGATATATGAGATTCATTTGATGTTCTTTTTCTGATGATGACCTTGCCTATTTGCTTCCCACTGGCCCATATATACCTGTTACACCTTCATCCATCATTTTATTCTTAACATTTTTGGGTAATTTGATATTAGGAATATATAAATGGATTACATTAAGTTGTTTTTAAAAAGAAATGTACATATTTTACATTTTAAAAAAACTTTTTGAATGTTTATTTTTGAGAGAGCAACGGAGCATAAATGGGGGAGGGGCAGAGAGAGAGGGAGACACAGAATCCAAAGCAGGCTCATGGCTCTGAGCTGTTAGCACAGAGCCCGATATGGAGCTCAAACCCACAAACCACAAGATCATGACCTGAGCTGAAGTTCAACGCTTAACACACTGAGCCACCCAGGGGCCCCTATATTTTATATTCGTATATGCAGATAATATGTATATATTAAGAATACACATGCAACAGGTTTTGAGATCAATACACAGTATCTGCTTCCTCCTCACTAATGAAAGTTTATCTAAAATGATGTTGTTATTGCTAAACAATAACAAAAATACTAATAACTAACAATCTATTGTATACTTGGCTATTCATATATTTGTTTTATGAAATCTTTGTTCAACTTCTTGCTCATTAAAAAATAGTTCTTTATTATTCTATTATTGAGTTATCAGAGTTCCTTCTATATTCTGAATAAAAGGTGTTTATAAGATACATGTACAGAATACTGTTTCCCAGACTGTGGCTTGCATTTACATTTTCCTAACAGTGTTGGCAAATTATTAGTTTTGATGAAACCCAATTTGTAACTTTTTCCTTTATGGATAATGCCTTTTTTATCCTACCAAAAAATCTTCACCCTTCTCAAGGTCATAAAGACTTGCTCCGCTGTTTCCTTCTAGAAATTTTGTAGTTTCAGGCTTTTTGTTTGTCACATTCATTTTGAGTTCATTTTTGTATATAATGAGACAGAAAATAATAAGCAGGAGGGTAGGGGAAACAGGAAGAGGTTGGTAAAGGGTAGAAAGTTCAGCCATAAGGCCTGAAGATCTAATGTAAAACATGGTGACTAAAGTGAATAACACTGTAGTTTGTAAATGAAATTTGTTAAGAGTCCAACTTAAATGCTCTCTTCAGAAATAAAAAGATAATTATGTAGGTGATAGACTTATTAACTAGATGGGAGAATCATTTCCAAATATAAAAATATATCAAATCACCAAAATGCATACTTTAAATATCTTACAATTTTATATGTCAATTGTACTTCAAGAATACTAACAATAAAAGTCAGCTAAGTTGAAAAACCTAAAGCAAGAGTGACAAAAAAAACAAAGAAACAATTACCAATATCAGGAATGAAACATGGGATAGCACTGGAGACCCTGTAGACATCAAAAGGATAATAAGGGAATAGTATGAATAATTCTACACACTTTGACAACTTAGACAAAATGGATCACTTGCTCAAACACAAGTCACTAATACTAACCAAATATGAAAAATGGTCATTTGAATTGCCTATAACTATTAATGACATTGAATTAATAATTTAAAGCTCTCAAAAAATAAAACTCCAGGGCCAGATTGTTTCACTGGAAAAGTCTACCAAACATTTTAACAAAGCGTTAAAACCAATTTTATACAATCTTCTGGAAAATATGAGGAGGAAACACTTCTGCATTTATTTTATGAAGATCGTAATACCCTGACACCAGTATGAAAACAGAAAACAAAAAGCAATATTAGGTATTCAAAAAAAAAAATCAACATAACCCACCAAGGTAAAGAAGAAAAAACACACACCTTATCTATAGATATAGAAAAAGCATTTGACAAAATTTAACATCTCTTCATGATAAAAACCTTCAGAAAAATAGGGTTAGAAGAGAACTTCCTCAACTTAATAAAGAGGATCTATCTACAGAACTACAATTAACAGAACGCTTTCCCCTAAGATAGGCAACAAAGAAAGTTGATATCTATCTCATCACTCTTATTCTTCACAGTCGTAGACAATGCTAGAAGTTTTAGCCAGTACAGGAAGGCAAGAAAAGGAAATAAAAGGGACACAGACAAAAAAAGAAATAAAACTGTCCCTATTTGCAGAAAACATGAGTGAGTAGGTAGGAAAAAAAAAAAAAAGAAAAAGAACTCCTACAGTACTAAATGAATACGGCAAAGTTGTGAGATACAAGATAAATACAAAAAAGTGAATTCACTAGTAACGAGTCTGTGGACATTGAAATTAAAACTAAAATTCCATTTATAATTGCTGAAAAAAATGAAATACTTAAAGATAAAAACAAAGCACATGGAGGATTTGTATGCTGAAAACTATGAAACACAGGAAAAAATACAAAGATGATCTAAATAAATGGAGAATTGTACTATGTTTATGGATTGGTAAACTCAACAGTGAACCTATCAGCTCTCCCAAATTGACAATTAGATTTAATGCAATTCCTATCAAAATCCCTGAAGACTTATTTGTAGATAGAGACAAGATTATTCAAAAACATGTATGGAAAGGCTAAAGCAAATCTTAAGAATTATATAGTTATAGTAATCAAAACTGTGTGGTATTGGCAGAAGGACAGATACATAAATCAACAGAACAAAACAAGAGATCCCCAGGAACAGATCCAAACAAATATACCTGTGTTTTAATAAATTTGCCAAAGCAATTCAATGTAGGATAGAAAATCTTCTCAACAAATGGTGTGGAGCAACTGAACATCTTAAAGCAAAAACCTTGACCTAAGTTTCATACCCTATACAAACTATTAACTGAAAACAAATCACAGACTTAAGTGGAAAATAAAGTTTTAGAAAAAAAGGAGAAATTCTCCAGGATCTAGGTAAAGACTTCCTAGAATTGATACCAAAAATATGATCCATAAAAAGTGAAACTGACAAATTGAACCTCATAGAAACTGAAAATACCTGCTTAGAGAAAGTCCCTGTTAAAAAGATAAAATGACAAGCTACAGACTAAGACTACAGACTAAGAGAAAATATTTGAAACCTACACACCTGACAAATGAGTAGTATCTATAATACATAAAGAACTCTCAAAACTCTAATAAATTAACAAACACATTTAGAAAACTGGCAAATCATCCTGACTTGAGGTCAAGGTTTTTGATATTGTAGTTCAACACCGTATCCTGTGGTCTTCTGACTACTTATTCTATATATTAAGGAGAAGGGAGACTGAAATCTTCAACTATAATTATGGGTTTGTCTCTTTCTCTTTTCAGTTTCACTTCATGCATCTTAAAGCTTTATTTAGGTTCATCCACCTTTAGGACTATTATATCCTATAGATGAATTTACCATGATTTCCAACACAACTTTCTTTTGATTAGGGTTTAGTCTATCTCCCTCCATCCTTCTGTTTTTAAACTATATGTCTTCATATTTAAATTGTGTTTCTTAAAGATAACACAGTTGAATCATACTTTTTATGCAGTTTGTGAACTGTTACCGAGGTCTAGCTTTTTTATCCAGCCTGAAAATTTCTCTTTTAATTGAAGTGTTTATGCTATTTACACATAATGTAATTATCAATATTGGATGGGTTTAAATCTACTATTTTTCTACTGCTTCATCTCAAAATAATATTCTTCTCTATGTTAATCATTTTTTCCATTTCCAAAACTTACTTTCAGTTTCATCTTATGTATTTCAGCTTGTTCTTCCTGGTATAATTCTTGTCTCACTTGCTCCAAATCTTCACGTTGCCGCAGCATTTCTTCCAATTTCTGAGTCAGCTATTAAATTTTTAAAGAAACACACAAATGTTAGTAGTAAACAAATTCTATATTAAGTGTTTCTGAATTCCTCCAATGTTAAAGAAGTGGCTATTTTAATACCATATTCTGAAGCTGCAGCCTTTTTTCCTCATTTTCTTGAACTTTTGCCATTCGATCTTCTTCTCTTTGTTGCTGCATGTTGGCAAACTCTACGATTTTTCTGTTTTCTTCTTCCATCTCCTCACGTTTCTTTTTTCTCCAGAGAGCCTGTTCTTTCTGAAATTCTTCTATGTACCTTCGAGTTACATTCATTTTTTCTAACCTTTGTTGTCTTTCCCTAAAAAAGCAAGAGCTGAGTACAGTTGTACAGTAAAAGAAATAATATTGATAAATATAAGTGTCATTTCCTTCAGGTGATAATAATGTGGGAAAAAACAGCCTTTCTATTTATATTTTATTCATTCATTCATACCACAAACGTTTCGAGTGTCCACTATGTGCTGCTAAATACAATGACAGGTATGAATTTTCCAAGTAAAATACTATTTATACTGCTCCTCTAACTTATTAATGAAGTTTTATGCATCTCACTTCAGAAAGGCACCAACCTGTTTACATACGCCTAGCAGCACACTACACTTCAGCTGTCCAGCAAAGAAATGATCAGAAGACAAGTCCTCTATATGATATGGGCACATTTAAGGAAAACAAAGGTTTAGTCATTTTCTTCCTTAATAAGCATTTGTTACCAGATAATTATCATGCTCACAAAGATAAATAGGAGTTGGAGCTCCATTTATGTAATTGTAATACTTACTGAGGACTTAGTATGTATCCGGCACTGTTTAGGTACTTCTTCTTTTTAAAACAAGCCTAAGATAAATCTCATCTCAATGTTTAGGCATGGAAAGAAACTGGGATGAACTTACAATTGATCTTCTTCATAGATTTTCCTAACAATTTCATCAATCATGAGTTTCTCTTTCAGTAATTGCTCATAAGCTTCCTGCTTTTTCCTTTCTTGTTCTTCAAGTTGTTTCTCCAAGTCAAGATAATATTGTGCTTTTACTTTATTCCGTTTGTCCTCTGCAGCATTCTCTTCCTTGATTGCTCTCTCGTGTTCTTCCATCATGGTTTTGGCTATTTCAGCATCACGTTTCTGTTATGAAAACAAAATTTATCTTTCCATTTTCAAATGGTAACACAGTAGGTTAGAATATGTCAAAACAGGTGAAATTGAATACTTATAAAGTGTACTGCATAAAATATTTTCATCTGTCCAGGTAATCACAAAGGTAAGTCACTCTCACTTGAAGGGTTTGAATGATGAGTCAAAGACTAAAGATGCTTTCCCATTCCTTCAAGTAGGTCTCAAGGAAATATAGGATGAGCATAATTAATAACTCCACATTTGAAAAATTTAGAAAAACTTTACTAAAAAATTAGAAAAACTCTGCATTTGAAAACCTGCAAAAATTTGAAAAAATAGAATAACTGTTTTAAAAAGCAGTAGTCACCTTTTCCTTTTATTTAAAAGTGATGTAGGCAATTTTTAGCTCCATTATGTATCAGCTCCCATTTACAGTAAGGATTGTACTCTTTTTCAGACAAGTCTGCTATTAACCAGCTCTGAGCAACTCTGAAGTTTCTCCCAGCCTAAACTTTCTTTCTTGCCACTGGTCTTTGAAGTCTCTCATTTCTTCATTTATTAAATGCCCTTTATAATTACTTTAACTTAGAAGAGTCACATATATCACTGTGCCTATTTTCTGTAGCTTTTAATTCACTCATTCAAGACTATTCCCTCTGATTAGAGACAATCTTACTTCTGAACTAGGTTAAACCTCTTATTCTTTTTTTGAGCATTTTGAAATCACGTAACAAAATAAGTTGTAAATTAAAAATATTCAGGCAACTTTTATTACCCTTTACCATTATGATAACATCCCAAATAACATCAAATAGGCAATAAATGGGTTAAAATGTGAATGCTGAATGCCATTCCTGATCTAATTGAGGCCTTTAACATATACACTATTAATATGACTTGACCAAAGTTCTTTCTCTCCTACTTTTTTAACACATGTTGTATTGGGTTCTTTAAAAAAAAGTGAAATGACAAAAACATTTATGTATACATTGCCACACACTTATAGATATACAATGTTCTCATTTCACAGATATAAGACTAAAGCTCAGAGAGAAGGAACCCAAACTGGCAACTAGTTATCTTGACACCTAGTCAAGTTATAGAACTATTTGACTTTAATTTTTGTAGGCTCATTTTATTTAGGAAATAGTGGCAATTCCTTCAGGAGTCAGACTTAAATGTACAGCTGCCTGGAAAAATTTCAACTATCAGGATAAAACTGCAAATTACTGGTCAAAGACTACACTGCTTATGTTCTACTTTACTTTTGTTTTTAATTTTATTTATTTTGAGAGAGAAAGAAAGAGAGAACATGAGTAGGGGAGGAGTGGAGGGCAGAGAGAAAATCTCACAGGGATATGGGATTGATCTCACAAAGCATGAGATCATGACCTGAGCCAAAATCAAGAGTTGGACGCTTAACCAACTGAGGCACCCAGTTGCCCCAGTCGTACTTTAATTTTGAAAGGGAAGAAAAGAACTACATGCCTTAGGAAACAAGATCTCATGCTTTCCTACCACCTGCCAGGCCAAAGGCATTCCCAGTTAACAGCATGCTATGCAACCCTTTGGACTTTTCCTGAACTGACACACATGCAAACACACCACTGTGGCCAGCATCGATTCTTATGAGATGCCTATATTGCACTGTGCTGGTTAAGTACTTTGATATTATTCTTCTAATTGTATGTGTGCATCAACATATGTGTGCTGATATATACACATATGTTAACATACAGGTTTTAAAAAATGAAAACGGTCTGTGATGTGTATTACTCTCCAACTTGATTTTTCTGCAACTTGTTTTTTCTTTTTAACTTAAAATATGTTCAGGCTAACTTTAAAAGCCACAGCATTTACCTCTACCTCTTCTCTTTAACAGCTATATAACCTCTTTGAAAGGAATCCAGGAGAGAGGAAACTTTATGACTAAAATGCTCTACATATTAACAGAGAAACAAGAGAAGAGAACTTAAAAGACTGTAATATTGCAATCAGACCTTTTCATCTACGCCTAGCCTTTCCATGGGACCATGAGGGGTCAAGTGACGGTGTGCACGCTGCTTTTAAGAATTAACTCAATAAACCCTATTTTACATTTACTGGAACACCACTGGCGAGTATGTCTAAAACTCCTTTGCCCAAGAGTATCTCTTGCCCTGAACCAGACAGTATTTTCTAACCAGGAGTTAGAAAAGGGAAAAAAAAAAGAGGGAAACAGAAGAGATTACTACTAATAAAACAAGAGTTTCCTGCCTAAAATTATAAAATACTTCACTTTTTAAAACATTTAACAAATACAAAATCTAATAACATTCTAAAATGTATTGATCACACTAACTTGTACTATATTGGTTTGTCAGAGAATTATCAGTTAGAGACCACAAAGAATGCTCAGACTTACTGAGTATAGTTATTCATTCTAAACAGCAACCACATTCTTTGTGTCTCTGAAAGGCTCTAACATTAAATTAAACAAGGCTCACTACTGAATAATCTTTGAGTTTCTACACCTTAAGAATCTGAAAAGTATAAAAGTATTTAAGAAATCTAGCAGTGTAAATTCCTCATGGTATGGAGCAATTTTCAAAAAATTGGGCTATTGTTGGTTTTCTAAATGAAGTTAAAATATAGAAAACATAATGACCAGAAACATGATTACCATCTGCTCGTGTTTAATGGCATCCTTTTCTGCGATCTGAGCTGCTCTTTCTTTATTCATGTAAGCTGCTTTTAATTTCTTCTCCAATTCTCTGAGCTCAATACTGTTTTTTAAAAAAAGAGAAATTTAAAGTTGAGGACCACATTTCTTACTATCTTAAAAATTTGTACCTGAGATGTAAAAGAATTTTTCTACATGTGTAAGATATTTAAATTATTATATATCTTGAAAATAACACTTCTTCTTGCTTCATCCAAAGAAAAATCAGAATGCATGTGAAATGAGGCATTATAATTAATTTTCCATGCAAAACAACCCTTTTATTTCTGGTAATCATCACTAAAAATCTTTTTGCCTGTGCATAATAACTCAGAGAAGATGCTTTCTCAATAATGGTTAAAATTTCTGTCCAACTACTGAGGCTATCGAACTAAAAGAACTATAGTGGAGAGGTTGAAAGCAAGTTACTTATATTTTGTACCTTGGTTTTGTTACCTGTAAAAAGGGTAGCTGTGGGAATTAGTTAATCGGTATAAAAAGCTTATAAAAGCACCTGTTACACAGTAAACACTCTATAAACCATAACTATTTTTTGATATTAATGATGGAGAGGAATGACCACAGGCAAATTTGCTTCACTTCTCTGGACTTGTTTACCTACCTGTTAAAAATGAGGATCACCCTCAGATAATCTCTGTTTTTGAAGCTATCCCTTCCATAACTATGGTGGAAAACAAAATGACATATGCAACTTTTCATTTTAATGTGCAGTCACATTCTGAATATGAGAATTCTGAGTTGGAAGGGTACTTAGATGTCACATAGAAGCACATCTTGGGGCACTGGGGTAGCTCTATCAGTTGAGCATCCAATTCTTAATTTCAGCTCAGGTCATGATCCCAAGGTTGTGGGAGCCCCATGTGGATCGTGGAGCCTACTTAAGATTCTCTGTCACCCTATTCTGCTCCCCGACTCATGCATGCTCTCTCAAAAAAATTAAGTTAAAAATATTTTTTAAAGTACATCTTAATTCTTATTAGAACAGAGGCACTCACCTAATTATAAACAATTTAGAAGTACCCAATACCTCCAAAGAGAAGTCATCATGGGTAGGGTAGAGAGCTATCTTGGTGTTGTGATGTGTCCTTCTTGCCCTTTCTGTTGGAGTTGTGAATGAATAGGACACACAATTGCCTTATTTCATAAAAATAATAATATAAATGAGGATTAAGTTTCTAGGTTAGTCTACATATTCTACTCTCGGGGGCTGAAATATATTTCTAAGAATTTTTGTTGGATTGGAGTTAGGTAATAATATTTGTAAACCAAGGTACATACCCAATCACAATTTATAATATTACCTCTCTAAAACAAAGTGCATCAAATACCAAGCAACTAGCATGGAAATAAATGACGTTCATTGGAAGGACAAATGCACAGATTTCTATTGGATATATGCCTAAGAGTGAGATTTCTGAGTCACACTAATCAAATTTCATAGAAAATGCCAGCTTTCCATGCTCTGTACAGATTTAGACCCACAGTGCTTCAGCACTCACACTGCTACATGTCCCAGCAACACTTTTTAGTCTTGTCATTCTTTTTCATTTTAACCACTCTTGTGGGTAATATATCATTGGAGTTTTAATTTGTTTCCTTAAAAAAATGAAACTGAGACCTTTTCATATGTTTGAGTCATTTCTACATCTTCTGTGAAGTTTTTGTTAAAGATTTTTTTTGCCCACTTTTAGACTAAATTGTCTACTTCTTGTTGCAGAAGAGTTCTTTGTATATTCTTGATAGAAGTCTCTTGTTAGTTACATGCAGTGCAAATATATGTCATTCCAGTCTGTACTTACTCTCACAGTGGCTTCTTTAGATGAAGAGAAGTATTCTAATTCACCAATCTTTTTCTTCATGGTCAATGACTTTTGTGTCATGTTTTAAGAAATGTTGCCTACTGCATGCATATAAAGTTGTTTTCTTTGTTAATCTCTCAAAACTGTTTCAACATGACTTTTAGACTAATCATTAAAGAATTCAATTCTGTGTGTAGAGTGAGGTAAAAACCACGTCCATTTTTGTATATAAGGTTATTTAATTGATCCAGTACCATTTTATAAAAATGTCCATTTCTGACAGAATTGAGAACTCAGAAGTGGACCCAAAAGTATACAGCCAACTGATCTTTGACAAAGCAGGAAAGAATATCCAATGGAAAAAAGACAGCCTTTTTAACAGATGGTGTTGGGAGAATTGGACAGCAACATGCAGAAGAATGAAACTAGATCATTTTCACACACCATGCACAAAAATAAACTCAAAATGGATAAAGGACCTGAACGTGAGACAGGAAACTATCAACACCCTAGAGGAGAAAGCAGGAAACAACCTCCTTGACCTCCACCGCAGCAACTTCTTACTTGACACATCCCCAAAAGCAAGGGAATCAAGAGCAAAAATAAATGATTGGGACCTCATCAAGATTAAAAGCTTCTGCACAGCCAAGGAAACAACCCAGAAAATTAATAGGCAACCAACGGAATGGGAAAAGATAGTTGCAAATGACATATCAGATAAAGGGTTAATATCCAGAATCTATAAGGAACTCACCAAACTCCACGCCCGAAAAACAAACAACCCAGTGAAGAAATGGGCAGAAGATATGAACAGACACTTCTCCAAAGAGGACATCCAGATGGCCAACAGACACATGAAACGATGCTCAGCATCCCTCCTCATCAGGGAAATACAAATCAAAACCACACTGAGATACCACCTCACGCCAGTCAGAGTGGCTAAAATGAGCAAATCAGAGAACTCTAGATGCTGGCGGGGATGTGGAGAAACGGGCACCCTCCTACACTGTTGGTGGGAATGTAAACTGGTGCAGCCCCTCTGGAAAACAGTGTGGAGGTTCCTCAGGAAACTAACAATAGAACTCCCCTATGACCCAGCAATAGCACTGCTAGGAATTTACCCAAGGGATACAGAAATGCTGAGGCATAGGAGCACATGGACCCCAATGTTCATAGCAGCACTCTCCACAATAGCTAAAACATGGAAAGAGCCTAAGAGTCCATCAACCAATGAATGGATCAAGAAGATGTGGTTTATCTATACCATGGAATACTACATGGCAATGAGAAAGAATGGAATCTGGCCATGTGTAGCAACATGGATGGACCTTGAGGGTGTTATGCTGAGTGAAATAAGTCAGGCAGAGAAGGACAAATATCATATGTTTGCACGTATAGGAGGATTAGGAGGAACTTGACGGAGGAACAAGGGGGAGAAGAAGGGCGGAAATGGTGGGGGAAAGGGAGAGAGGCAAACCATGAGAGACTCTTGAATGCTGACAAAAACTGAGGACTGATGGATGGGGGGGGGAGGGGGGATGGGCATGGAGGAGGACACTTGTGGGGATGAGCACTGAGTGTTATGTAGAAACTAATTTGACAATAAACTATTTGTAAAAAAATAAATAAATAAAATAAAATAAAATTTAAGCATGAAAAAAAAATGTCCAATTCTGAATGTTCTACACTAACATTGTAGTGCCAGGGCTCTGCAGTGTCAGAGTTTAACTGTGCATATATGCATGGATCTGTTTTTGAATATCCCATCTCATCATTTCTCAACTGGGGTCCATAAGAGAACTAAGCCTCACAGAAAATGAAGTAACTATATTTTAATTCTCTAATAAATGGTATATAGCAGGCATTGTTTTAGATCCACGGAAGGTAAATGAACTCATTACAGATGCTGTAGACCATTGGGGTTTATATTTTCTGGTTGAGAAGATCTGCTCCATTCCATTTTATCAATCCATTTGTTTATTCTGTGCTAAAACCACAATATCTTAATTAGTGTAGCTTTATAATAAGTATTTATATCCTAGAGAATAAGTCTCCAATTTTGGTCTTCTCAAAGATTGTCTTAGCCATTCTAAGTACTTTGCATTTCCATATACATTTTAGAATAAGCTTGTCAAATGTCATAATAAACAATACTGGCTGAGATTCTGATTAGGATTACATTGAATTTATAAATCGGACATGTTTACAATACTGAGTCTTTGATTAATAAACATGGCACATCTTTCCAATTATTTACATTTTTAAAAATTCTATTCATAATAGTTTTTTTTTTTTCAGTGTTGAGGTTTTATACCTCTTTCATTAGGTATTTATTTTTTTGTTATTGTACGAATTATTCTTAAAATGTCATTAATTGTTGCTAACTTACAGAAATACAACTAATGTTATATATTGACTTCACGTCCAACACTACTGAACTTATTCTTATAATTTAAACATAGATTCTTCTGGATTTTCTACATACACAATCATATCATCTGGTAATAATCAAAGTTTTATTTCTTTACTGCCAATCCTAACACCTTTCATTTACTTTTCTTGCCTTATTGCACTGGCTAGTGTGCCGAATACAGTGATTAATATAAATCAATCCAGAATGAGGGACAGACACTCACAATATGGGCTACTACCATCAAAACTGCCTCAGAGCTGGGAAGGGATGGAGCAAGGACAAGTGAAAAACACCACAAAGCTTTGCTACCATTTTTAAGTTGCCTTTTTCTTGATTCAGCATTCACTTGGTTGCTATAAACCTCTGACTTTTGAAACTGTAATGCCATCCGTACTGCCAGCAACTGGCTATGTATTTAATAAGGGAAGACTGTCTCTGTCTCCTCTATGAGACAGTTTTTGCTAAACTTAATTATCAATTATATATGAGATACTTGTTTTTGGTTTTATAAAACTGTGTTAACTGTGTAACAAATGTATAGCTGCTAATTATGTAATTATATATTGTATGATTAATTATAATTATATAATGAAGCAGAATAATTAGAAATCATTAAAATTATTAATCACACATAATTATTGATCTGTGGTATAATTTTTTTTAAAATTTTTAATGTTTCTTTAAAAATTTATTTCTGAGAGAGAGAGAGAGAGAGAGCGATCAGGGGAGGGTCAGAGAGAGAGGGAGACACAGAATCCAAAGCAGGCTCCAGGCTCTGAGCTGTCAGCACAGAGCCCGATGTGGGGCTCAAACCCATGAACTGTGAGATCATGACCTGAGCCGAAGTCGGACGCTCAACTGACTGAGCAACCCAGGCGCCTCCTTCTGTGATATAAATTTTAAAAAGACTTCTAAAAATAGGAAGGGACTAAAAAGAATAAAAAAATAAAAATAAGAAGTGACTGTCCCATCTCAAGGAAAAAGCAGTGATAAATTAAACTGTCTTTTAAATATTTTCTTGGATTAAAAAATCATGTTTTCAAAAATCAAGTAACAGTCTCATTCAAGGTCAATTATTTTCAAAAGAAATGTCAATGAGCTTTAAAAATTCACCCCGGGTTTTAAAAATTCATTTCTTTTAAATTTAAAGAGGCTAATCTTACTATATATGGTTTTTAATCACTTAGGATATATTTTGAGTACCACCACAAACATTCCTTGATTTTAGAACTGCCAGTTTGCAGATGAAAACACTGATCAGAAAACTGGTCCATTTCTGCACATTAATCACAATTCTACCACAGCTTATGCACGAAATGAAAAACTCTAAGCAGTGTTGACAATGCTAACAGGCAGCATACCATATTTGAAAGAGTATTCAGCTGAATGACTTTTGCCTTAGTTTGAAGAAAATTTTCAAAAGTATAGCATTCTAGATGGGTCATTATTTTCTTTCAGCCCTTTCAATCCATAGACTTCTAGTTTTCACTGTTACTTTCAAAATCAGGTCATATTTCTGATTGTTGCTCCTCTGAACGTAATAGTCTTTTGTGGGGCTGCTTTTGTGATTTTCATGGTTTTATTTATTGTTGGATTTCAACAGTTTGACTAGGTTAAGTATGGGTATAGTTTTCAGTATTTGTTGTGTTTTCACCTGTGGCTTTATGTCTTTTCACACTTTTGGAAATTCTTGGCCAGTATCTCTTCAAATACAGCTTCTGCATCATCCTCTTCCATTTCTACTACCAGAACTAAAAGTATACATGTGTTAGCACTTTCCATCATGGCCCTTATCTCTTTTAAGGTTACTTTTGTATTTTTCTATCTCTTTGTCTCTCTGCTTTATTCTGGGTATTTTCCACTGGCCTACTTGCACATGCCTCGCTTCATCTGTTTCTATCTAATAAAATCAAATTGAATTCTGTATTAATGAAGTAATACACATACTAAGCTGCACAAATCTTAAGCATAAAGTTTGTAAAAATGTTGAACATCTTGCCATATGCTTATTGGCTAAGCTTTGCTTCAGTTCTTAACTCTCAGCCATACTTTTGGAATCAGCAAAACCTCCAGGAGAAATACAGCTACAAATGCCAAGCTTACCGTTCTGGTTTGCTTGTTTCCCAGATCTTACTTTTCCAGATAATCTGTTCTCAGAGGGAGCAATTATTTGAATCACCTTGTGTAAAAATTGTTAGAAGTGGAAAGTTCCTCCATTTAATTTTTAGATCAGTGAATTAGACAAAAATAGGATGAAATATTTGTTTCATCTTCAGATAACATAAAGCCACAAGGGACAGCTCAAATAACTGGAGAATTGATGTCCAAAGAGACAGTTTGTGACTAGAACAATATGAAGACATTAGTGGCAATTTTAAATCTTTAAGAATTAGTAAAATAATTTGATAAAAGTTGTAGGCCCAGAAAAATACATATGGGTGTATTTGTCAAACATATAAATATAATTTAATGAAGCTTAAAATCCCTGAAGGTCACCAATGGGTCATATAATATCCTACACGAAGCCTGGCTCAGTTAAGATAAAATGTAACAATTATCAAAGTAAATTGCTAATATATTCAACTATGTAAATATAGGATGGGCATTTAGTTAGACCTGAGTTTTAACCAACAATGTGATATTGCTGCTCCTAAAAAGTAATTTCATCTTAGGCAACATTAAGAAACATATTGTAGAACAATGTGGTTAGGTTAACAGTCCCACTACTAGGGGTATTAAGCAGTACCCCAGAGGATTACACATAATTAATGGGGTAAGATTTTGTTAAGGAACAACAATCATGTAAATCACACCTACAGAAGAGAACTAGGATGGTGAAGATTGAAATTATGTTATATGTGGAACAAATGAAGAAATGAAGGATGTTTAACTTACAGAAAAAAACTTTTTCATATTTATGTTTTTGTTTTTGTTTTTATTTCTAGGAGAGAGAGAGAGACAGCGAGAGCAGGGGAGAGTCAGAGAGAGAGGGAGTCACAGACTGAAACAGGCTCCAGGCTCTAAGCTGGCGGTCAGCACAGAGCCCGACGCGGGGCTCAAACCCACGAACCACGAGATCATGACCTAAGCGAAAGTCGGACGCTTAACCGACTAGGCCACCCAGGCGCCCCTTTCATATTTATGAACAGGATTCACAAATATGAAAGGATATACTAAATAAGAACTACATTTGTTGGTCTTTCATCAGACAGCAGAAATGAGATAAATGAGAAAGTTACAAGGAAATTAATTTTGAAACAACAGGGGAAAAGATAATTCAGAGTTACGGCTGAATAAAAAAAGTTCTATTGTAATCACCAGAGGTGTTGACCCATAGCTGACCAGCCACTTTCCAAGAATACTGGGGTAGAAAATTAAATTATCTATTGGGTAAGGTTTCACTTAAGGGTAGGATTCATGAGGGCACCTGGGTGGCTCAGTCATTTAAGCGTCTAACCTCAGCTCCAGTCATGAGCTCACATGGGTTCACAGTACATGGGTTCAAGCCCCACATTAGGCTCTGTGCTGACAGCTTGGAGCTTGGAGCCTGGAGCCTGCTATGGATTTTGTGTCTTCGTCTCTCTCTGCCCCTTCCCTGCTTACCTTCTGTCTGTCTCTCCCTCAAAAATAAACAAATAAACTTATAAAAAAAAAAAGAGTAGGATTCATGAGTCTATTTTTTAGGTCATTTAAAAAATTACGTTTAGAGGGGCGCCTGGGTGGCTTAGTCGGTTAAGCGTCCGACTTTCGCTTGGGTCATGATCTCGCGGTTCGTGGGTTCGAGCCCCGCGTCGGGCTCTGTGCTGACTGCCGGCTCAGAGCCTGGAGCCTGTTTCAATCTGTGACTCCCTCTCTCTCTCACCCTCCCCTGCTCACGCTGTCTCTCTCTCTCCTAGAAATAAATAAAACATTTAAAAAAAAATTTAAACTTTAAAAAAAAATTACGTTTAGAGGAAAGAGAAGAAATTGATATTTATTTTCACCTTAAACACTACTTGGAATACAACTTCTTTTCTCAAGCGAATATAAATAGGACTTAAAGCAATAAGCATTTCCAGACAAAATATTAACTAAGTACAATGATACAAATAAAGAAATTTCACTTTCAGGTGTCAAGCATAACATAATCAGTCTCAAGGCAAAGACAAAACAAATGAAATTTATAAAAGCCAAGATACCTGTTTTCTCTTACTTGTTGCCTCATCTTTTCATCCTTTAGACTTTCATGTTTTAGTCTTGCCAATTCCATTGCCAGTTTTTCTTCTTGTTCAATCTGAAGTTCCCTCAATCTTTTGTTTTCTTCTGCCTGAATTTTTTTAAAAAAGAAACTTCATTTATTTGTCCTCCAGAATCAGATATATTTTTTTCTCAACGCTGAATCTGTTTTTTAACAGAAAGCTCAAGTGCCTTCAGAGCAACAATCATTCATGTTTTATTTTAAAATACAAACTACTATTTCAGTAGACACTCTTCCAAACATTTTACCATGGAAGATGTCATACATCATCAGTAATAAGAATATTAAAATACACTCTCAGGTAGCATCACTCATTTTCCATAACTACCAATATTTTGCTAATCTTCTTTCTTTACTCTTCTACTCCAATTTCATTTTTTCTTCATTCTTTTTTGCTAGACTATTTAAAACATATCCTAGATATGTCATTAGCATATACATAATTCAGCATTGATCTCTACCTGATAAGAATTTCATCTCATAGAACAGCCATGCCATGAACATGTCTAAATAACAGTAATTCCTTAGAAAAGACTAATACCTTATCCATTTTCAGGTTTTCCCAATTGTCTCAAAGGTGACTTTTGTTTGCTTTTTCAAATCAAAATCCATACAAGATCCACATGTGACGTCTAGTTATTTTTTTCTCTGAAGTCTCTTTCACTCTGTAATGGTCATCCCATACACACACCTTTGTTTCCCAGTCCACTGATTTGTTGTAGAAATTAGTACATGTGGACCACAGAATGTCCTACATTGTGAATTTGACTGATTGCTTCCCCAAGATACCATTTAACTTGTTTCTTTTGTACCATGGGTAAAATGGTAGAAAGATCTAGAGGGTCGACTAAATTCTGTATTCAGAACAAATAAGCACATGAAAAGATGTTCAATATCATTAGCCTTCAGGAAATGCAGATTAAAATTCCAACGACAGATCACTACAAACCTATTAGAATGGCTAAATGAAAAATAATGGCAAAACCAAATGTTGGTGAGAAATTGTATGCTGGGTGAGAGTGTAAAATGATAGAGCGTCTCTGGAAAACAGTTTGGAGGTTTGTTCTAAAGCTAACATGCAATTACCGTGCAACTCAGTAACTTCACTCTTAAACATTTATCCTAGAGAAATGAAAACTTATGTTTATTTTAAAACCTGTACCCAAATGTGTACAGCAGATTTATTCAAAATAGCCAATAATGGAAATAAGCAGACAGATGCCACCAGGTGAATAGTGAGATAAACTCTGGTACATCCTACCATGGAGGACTGATCGACAACGAAAGGGAACAAACTAATGACACTAGTCACAACTGGCTGAATTTCTAGCAATTAAGCTAAGTGAAAAAAAATCTAATCCCAATGTACTGTATGATCCCATTTATATAATGTTCTTGACACACATTCTTTATTTTACAATTGAGCTTTAATTGTAAAAGTTCAATTATTCACATAGCATAAAATTCACCTTCCACAATTCCTAACTCAGTGGTTATTTAGTATATTCACAGTGGTGTGCAACAATCATCACTATCTAGTTTCAGAACTTTTTTTAAGCGGATATTTTCTGAAGCAGCTTTGTGTTCACAGCAAAAGTGAGCAGGAATAAGAGAGCTCCCATATACCCACAGCCCACACACACATACCACCCCACCTCACTATCAACACCCCCCACCAGTGTGATACATTTATTACAGTCAATTAATCTATGTTGACACAATCACCCAAAGTCCACAGTTTACATCAGGGTTAACTCTTGGTGGTGTACATTTTATGGTTTTGAGAAATATGTAATGATAGTATCTACCACTATAGTTATCACAGAGAGTAGTGTCACTGCCCTAAAAATCATCTGTGCTATGCTATCCTTCCCTCCCCCAGATCCCTGGCAACCTGTGATCTTTTTCCTATCTCCACAGTTTTGCATTTTCCAGAATGGTAGATAATTGGAATCATGGAGTACGAAGCCTTTACAGGTTGGCTTCTTTCACTTAGCAATACACATTTAAGGTTTGTCCACGTCTTTTCATGGCTTGATATTCTATTGTCTGGATTGTCGATCCATTCATCTGCTGAAGGACATCTTAGGAGCTTACAAGTTTTGACAATTAAAACTGCTATAAACATCCATGTGCAGGTTTTTGTGTGGATGTAAGTTTTAACATTGAAGAACAGTCTCATTACCTCCAAAAAAACCCACTATACCTGTTAGCTGTCATTCACCATTCCACTTACCCCCTAGTCTCTGAGAACCACTCATCTGCTTTCTATCTCTCTGGATTTGCCTATTCTAGAGATTTCATTTAAATGGAATCATACAGTACGTGGCCTTTTTGTGCTTGGCTTCTTTCATTTAGTGTAATGTTTTCAAGGTTAATCCATGTTGCAGCCTGTATCAGTACTTCATTCCCTGTTATGGCTGTATAATATTCCACTGAACAGATAGAACACATTTTGTTTATCAAGTCATCAGTGGATGGGCACTTGGGTTGTTTCCAACAACTCCTTTGGGCTGTCATGAATAATGTTGCTTTCAATATTCATGTACAAGTTTTTGTGTGAACATGTTTTCAACTGTCTTGGGTTTATGTTTAGGAGAGTAATATAGCATTTGCATTTAACTTTTTGAGGAACTGCCCAACTGTTTTCCACAACCACTACAGCATTTTACATTTCCACCAGCAATGTACAAGGGTTCCAAGTTCTCTACATCTTTGCCAACATTTACTATCCTTTTTAAAAAGAATTAGAACAATCTTCATGGTTCTAAAGGGAAACCTGTGATTTTTATTCACATCTCCCTAAGGACATGATGTTGAACATCTTTTACGCACTCATTGCTCATTTGTAGGTCTTCTTTGGAGAAATGGCTATTGATGTCCTTTGTCCATTTTTGTCTTTTTATTGTTGAGCTATATAAATAACATTCTTGAAATGACAAGATTATAAAAATGGAGAACATATAAGTGGTTGCCAGAGTAAGGCATGAGGCATGGTGTACAAGAAAGAGATGGACAAGGGGCACCTGGGTGACTCAGTAGGTTAAGCGTCCAACTTCGGCTAAAGTCATGATCTCACAGTTCGTGGGTTTGTGCACCACATCGGGCTCTGTGCTGACAGCTAGCTCAGAGCCTGGAGCCAGTTTCAGATTCTGTGTCTCCCTCTCTCTCTGACCCTCCCCTGCTCATGCTGTCTCTGTCTCTGTCTCTCTCTCAGAAATAAATAAAAACATTAAATAAAAATAAAAAAGAAAGAGGTGGACAAGAAAAGACAAAATAAGGAACACTTGTGGTCATGGAGCTCTCCTGGATCATGACTGTGGTGCTGGATATACAAACCTACACGTGTGATAAACTGTAGAGAACCAAACACATATATACACACACTCACACGCACATGCAATGCACAGACAGGAGCACAAGTAAGAGTAGGGAAATCTGAACAAGATTGGTGGATTGTATCATTGCTGATATTTTGCCTGTGATATTGTACTATAGTTTTGCATGATGCACCATTAGGAGAAATTAGGTGCATGGTATATTGGGTCTGTGTTATTTCTTATAACTGCATTTGAATCCACAATTATCTAAATAATACTTTCAACTAACAAAAAGCAACTGCAAGTACTGGTGATGACACAAAGCAACTGGAATACACCACTGAAGAAATGCAAAATAAGGCAGCAATTCTGCAAAATGGTTTGGCAATTTCTTATCAAGTGAAACATACACCCACTGTATGACCCAATCATCCTACTCTCAGATATCTATCCAAGAGAAATGAAAACTTATGTTCATATAAAAGTTTATAATCAAATGTTTATAGCAGTTTTATTCACAGTTGCCATAAGCTGGAAAACAACTCAGATTTTTTTCAACATACAAATGGATAAACAATTGTGGTACATCCATATACTAGAATATAACAGAACCATTCAGCAATAAAAGGAACAATTCATACAACAACATGGAATCTTACATCTGTTTTGCTAAGTGAAAGAAGTCAGACCCAAAAGGTAACGTATTGCCTAATTCCAGTTATACGACACTGTGGAAAAGGTGAACCTGTCAGGACATAAAAGAAATCAATGGTTTCTAGGGATTTGGGGAGAGGAGTGAGTGGTTTACTACACAGGGACAGAATGAGGGGACTTCTGGGATGACAGAATTGTTTGAATGAACAATCTACCCATTTCTATCTCTACACACTGGGAGGGTAGAGATAGAAATCTATCCATTTATCAAAGTCCATAGAACTATACATCAAAGAGAATTAATTTTGTAATATGCAAATTTAACAAGAAATCAGCCAGTATATCCAAATCAACAGCACTACAACTCAATAATAAAAAAGAATTAACTTGACAAGTCCAACCATTTGGATGAGTCTCAAAAGCATTACACCGAGTGAAAAAAAAATCTACTCTAAAGGTCACAGACATAGGATTCCACATATGTATGGCACCACACACAATTATATTTATATAACATTCTTGAAAGAACAAAATTACAGAGATGGAGAACAAATCAGTGGTTGCCAGGAATGCGAGGTGGGGGAGGGGTTGAGGAAGTATATGACTATGAAGGGGTAACATAAATGAGGTCTTGGCAGTGACAGAATAGTTCTGTATCTTAAATTAGGTGGTGGTTGCACAAATCTACACATTTGAAAAAATGACAGGGGGGTATAGGCAAATATGGTACCAATGTCATTTTCTAGAGTTTGATATTATATTATAGTTATGCAAGGTGTAACCACTGGGGGACCTCTCCATACTATTTTTGCAATTTCCCAAGAACTTGTAACTATTTCAACATAAAAAGTTTTTTTAAAGAAATCAACTACATGTGGGAGGAATAAAGGAATGCACAGTATATCAAATTAACTATTTAAAAATTAACTATTAAAAATCAGGGGGTCCAAGAAGCATAGAAGATCCTGAACTCATCTCCCATGGACACACAAAATCTACAGCTATCTATAAATCAGTTCTGTAGGAATGCTGACAATACTGACTCTATCTTTGGCCCTCCATCTTGTTCATGGTTGCTCAATGACCTCTCTTGGG